GATCAAGATGAATCCCCAGTTTTTAAAACTAGGTATTAAGTTGAGCCACCATTAGGGCAAGAGCGGGCGGGGATGGAAGACCCTTGGCCCTGCACCAAGTCATCCTGTGCAGCTGAAGGGGACGATCAGACCAGCCCCCTTTCCCAAGAGGAACTCACAGGCTTTTCCTGCTGGGACCGCCATGTGTGACTTAGAAAGGTGGGAAGAAAAACTGTGAAAGATGGCTGCAACTGCAATTATCCACAACTGCGGCGTACATAACGAAACAACGGTTAGTACTTGTATAGGGAGAGGACATGCATGCACTTGTAGACACATTAGAATAACAGGATCTGAAGCAGTTAGGACTGTCTCTGCCAAGTAGAAACAGCTACTGTTGACCCTGTACCACCAGAGACTATAAATACCACAAGAAACGGGAATTGACAAGTCAACTGCAGTATCTACAGAAGGTTATTTCAGAGGCTTTATGGAAGCATAGTTTTTCTTCGCCTTTTTAGCAGCCTGTGGATGCCATGGAACTAAATTTGCCTGATTATTATACCATCATAAAGAACCCAATGGGTTTAAGCACACTTAAGAAACACTTGGAGCATTGCTATGTGCAGGCTTCAGAATGTATAGAAGACTTCGACGCAATGTTTTTAAATTGTTGTTTATACCACAAGTTTGGAGATGACATTGCTATTATAGCACAAGCACTAGAGAAGGGGTTTAGGCAGAAATTATTTCAGATACCACATGAAGAACAAGAGGTGGGTGGTAAGGAAACAATAAAGAAAACCACTCAACAGAATGTTAGCAGATTCTCCTGTTAAAGAAAAAGTCCCCTGAAGCATCAGAAAAAGTAGTTAAGCAGCAAGTGAGTCACTTTGTAGTTCCTGAAACATCTACTTCTCCTTCAAATAGAGCACAAGGTGACCCACCAACTCTACCTCACAAACAGTGGCTCAGGTTACAAGGACGGTGAAGAGGAAAGAGATGAAACTCCACAACTTCAGTAGTTAAAGAGGTGACTGTTCCCCAGCACTTATGGGGGTAAAAATCTGCAAAACCACCTATAAGAGAAACTGTGCTGAAGAATGTTTTGCCAGAGTCTCAGCAACAGTATGAAGTTGTGAAGACTGTTCAAGGAACAGGGTGATTAAAGCACGGTAGTGAGATTCTTAAAGAAATGCTTGCAAAGAAACGCTTTTCACATGCATGGCCCTTTTATAATCCTATTGAGGTTAATGCGTTGGAACTCAGTAACTATTATGATGTAAAAAACCCAAAGGATCTTGGAACTACCAAGAGAAAAGTGGACATCGAGGACTCTAAAGATCCACATGCATTTGCTGCCGTGACAATGGCAAGAATGCTCCAGGATGTTTTTGAAATGCCTTTTGCAAGGATCCCAGATGAACCTGTTGAGTTAATGCTTTCTGACACCAAAATACCAATCTTATGTTGTATTTTGATGCTCTGAAATGACTAAACAATTTTCATCTTTTTAAAAGTATTAATGTAAAAAACTTAAGGTGAGCTCAATAGTTAAAAAATATTAGGGAGGGATTTATTTATTAAATAAACAGGATGATCCCAATGATAATAATTTAATAGTGCAAATCTTATATATTTTATGAGATGTCATAGATATTAGGTTTAGAGAAAATGATTATAAAAATTTATATTTGGGCCGTTTTGGTGCCTTGATCCTTTCTACCAAAGCCATTACAACATTTCATTTTGTTACAGTTTTTCACTTCTCATAATTCAGTGGAAATAAAAGACAGGAAAAATGCCAAGTTTAATTGAATCATGAGCAAAAAAGAGCTTAGTAATAAAGGGCAAATCACTTTAAGGAAATTTAATAGATTTAATTTATCTTTATTTCAATAAATATTCATTTTAGCATTATTAAATTTACTCACAAAATTAATTAAAACCATTTCTGGTTATAAGTACTATTATAAGAATTGAAAACTGCCTGGGTACAGAACAATGTATGTGTTCTAATTACTTTGTTAGAGGAATTAATTTCTTTGAGGAAGGTTTTGAAGGAGTAACAGGGATCTTTAACAAATGGACCTCCTAAAAATATTTCTCCATTTCACTCTCTCTCAGCAATAACCAAAAACTTAGATCTCCGGGAAGGATATGAGACATCCTGTTGCATGGCTTTCATTACCTGGTTTTAGTTAGCCTGCTTATTAGGAAAATGAAGAAAAATGAAATTTCTAAGTAACTTAGACTAAGTTAAATGGAAATCCAGGAAAACTAGACAAAAGGATCCAATCCCGTTAGCAATCAGAGTGCCAAGTGCTAGGACGTGTAAAGCGAACTCGGATTTTGCAGGGAAACATTTCAAGAGCATGTATTTTATTGAGGATCCTAGGTCCCTGACTAAGTTATTAACTATTGAGTTGTAGCTAAATTTTCCTTCCCAGCTTCCTCAGTACATTTGTTGGGTGTTTGGGGAAGAGCAGGGTCGGGGAGGAAAGATGGTCTTCTTCTCCCTCCCTTTCACTTTCTTAGTCCAGAAATCTAAAGGTATTTACTTGGCCATAAAAGGAACTCGTTTTCATTTCCCTAACATTTCAAAAGGCGGGGAAGGAGATAACAACTTACAAAGTGCTCTAAAGGGGTCGGTGATGTCACAGGATATCCTTAGTTTGAAAGGCTGGACTCCACTCCCCAAAAGGGCCCTCATTCCCAGCTTTGGAAAGAGACCAAGAACTGAGTGTGCTGCCTCCCAAGCATGCCAAGCCCTTAGGTCAAACATTTCCAAATGTTCTATTAATTCCTTCTGTTTATAACTCTAGAATTTTTTTTCTCATCCTTTGACTTTTAAAAATTATAAACTTTTCCTTAAGGCATTCACGTTTGTAATCAAGCTGGTTCTCTCTCAGCATTAACCCCGAGCTTTGTAATTTAGTATTATGGATTTAATGGTTTTGCTAAATTCTTGAAGGCAGGTGGATAATACATTATCTACTTTCTAACTCCAAGCCCCAGCAATAGTTGAGACTCTACTAAGACGCTGGTATTGTTTTATATTATCCTTATTTGCATATTTGTCTCCTGGATTGTAGACTCTTGAGAGAAGGAGCCATGCCTAATTCACTTTTGTATCCTTCTGCATCCAGCCACAGTAAGAACCTTGCCACAGTAAGAATCCAAGCATTTAATAAATTATTTATGTGATAGAGGTATACATGTGGCAATACACTGAATACCTCCAGATTCTAAAAGGCAATAATTAAATCTCAATTACAAACATAAAATGTTAGTCATTTCTTTCTCAGTAATCATCTCAGTTACACTTCTAACAAGAGATACTGAATCTAAGCCTCTTTGTTTTTCTTGTCTCCTATTTCCTCAAGACAGATTACTTTTTTCAGTTTTTGGGGGGAGAGAGGTAAGTTGAAGATTCTATCTAGAGATATTTTTCTATATATTCTTCCCAGTATTAAGCCTTCTTTAGACAGAAGTTATCAAAATACACATAAGAATGGATCAAGGTAACCAGCGAATTTTGTTCATATTTGAGTTAGCCATACTCCTTACTGTTATTTAAACCTGCTACGTTTATCAAAGAGCTCCCATCACCTGCCACACAAAAGCCAGACTCTTAGTATTATGTGCCTCTTCCTCCATTGTCCAGTTCCTCTCCTACTTCTCCCAGCTCCCACTCTGTATCTATCACACCAAAATAACTGCGCCTTTACACACGTGGTTCCTTCTTCCAGGAATGTACACCCTCTTCTCTGCCTAGAGAACCCCTACATGGCCTTCAAGATCCAGACTAGATGTCATCTCTTCTATTAATTCCATCTTACCATCCCCCCCCCCCCCCCGACCCCGACACCTGGCAGACATGGGCTGCTCTTCTGTCTCCTCCCTCAGCACCTGGACAGCTTCCTATGGTTTTAACACACTCTTTTCTGCTTTTATCACCATCTTTCCCAGTAGGCTGAGATCCTTTTTCCCAAAGTGTACTATAGTTTCTGGTACATAGTAGGCATACAATACATTTGAATGAATGAATGAATGAATGCACAATATTTCATCTACTTGATATTTCTCAGAACAACCCCATCACTAAAGGAAAAGAACGTACTATAGAAGCTGATAGAAAGGGCTCTAAGCCTGTACTTCTCTTTTTAAAAGTGTTATAATTTACTATTTTTTCCAGTATTATTTAGTTTTCTGTGTTGTTTGTAATTAACCTTATATAGCTCTTCCTCTCGGGCAAAAGCACGTTTAGGAGTTGAATTTCTCATCGAAGACTAAATAGAACTAAATAAGTACCAACCATCCATTCTCTCTTCTTCTGAGAACAGATTGCAATCCATAGGAAGGAAGTTGATGTATTGGAAAAAGCTATTCAAGAACTGGAAGAAGAAAATTTGGAGCTCATTGATCAACTATTCAACTGTAGACTTGTGGATCTCAAAATACCCAGGTGAAATGTATCTAGACAGTATTTTTTAAACATCTGTATCTGTATCAAGTTCTCTCTAATGATGATTTAATTCTTTAGTGCTCCAGCCAGACTGCAACAGTTGCAAAAGAAGGAATTCACAAAATGGCTTTGGTGAAGGCATAGGACCATGAGAGTTGACCATTTGTACAGTGCACACTTTGACTTGATTTTCCTAGCAATACCCTGCAGTCATAGCAGCCAGCACTTCCCATGAGTGTCGGAACTGCTGACCTTCAGCATCCTCCAGGTCGGCAGGAAGTATGGGCAGGAAAATCAATGCCAAGCAGTGCAGCAGAAGGTGCATGAGGTATGGAGTTAGCACAAAGGAGAGATTGATCCGTTTTGTGGCATCTTCCTGTAAGTGTCCTGGGCTTCTGGCTACCTTGGGGAATATGGAATTGTTTCCTTTGATAGTTAAGGAAAGACTCAACTGCTTTCGAGACAGAAAAAATAGCCTGGCATCCAAAGTCACGTCAATTCCTACATAAGAGAAACAACCATGGCTCTGCATCTTAGCTTATCTTTTTCTTACCTGACACAGGAGTCTTTATTCACCAATCTTGGTGGAGAACCAGGGCCCTGGAATATGATGGAATTAAGTGAGGCATTTATAATTTGGACAAGTAGTCAGAAACAAGAAATAATCTAAATGATAGCACATTTAGGGAGAGGGGGGGAAATAAATCACACAAATGTAGGGTCTATATGTGCAAGATGGGAGAGACATGTCTGAGTCTGGGAATGAAAGCAAAGACGTTCAACATTGTGAACGGGCCAGGGAAACATTTCCACTCAAGCAGTTCCTGTTGCTTGTGTAGCATGAAAAAATACTATTTGAGGCCTAATAAAGTATTTGTTGTCTACTAACCTCTTAATGTGCTCCAAGAACGGCGAATGCAGATAAGTTGTGGGTTTGTGCTTGGTGGGTTAAGTGACAGGTGTCAGGATGCAAGATTGGAGACATTGGGAGATAGTGCAATGACTTCATAGGGGGGAAGGCGCTTGGGGCAGGATAGGGAAAGAGACCACCTTTCTCCCTCCCACAATGTGTGTGTGTGTGTGCTTCCCTGGAGAGGGAAAGACCATTGTAGATGATGTAGGCAGTCAAGCTGAATGAGTTGGTTGATTGGTGGACTCCTTGAGGGCCCCTAGGAAGCGGGGGCCGCACTGTCCCCTCAGCCTGGAATGTTTCTGCCCCAGCTCTAATCATGTCTAAACTTGCTGGTGTTGTGGCTACTAACCACTGCTCTCCCTGCTGTCCACTGTCCTCTTTTTTGAACCAGCCAAACCTTAGAAAAGAGCTACCCTGTAGACTGCCAACCCCAGTTCCTGCTCCCATCAGCTCAGTCCGATTCGGTGCTGATAAGAATGTGAAGTGCTAATTATAACAAAGGGGAATTCTTTCATTGGCCAGAGAAAACTCGGCAAGGACAGGAAAGGAGATGAGAAAAATTCAATGGGGATCTTCACTAAGTTGTTTGCAATGTTAGCCTATTCTCTGTCCTCCCCACAAAAATCTTCAGTACACTCCACATTGTTCATCAGTGCTCTGTGGGTTGGCTTTCTTTGGTAGGTGAGATGAGTCGTGCTTCAGAGTTGGGAGAGATTAAATCAAAATCTACCCAAGGAACAAGAGACAGCAGAGAGACATCTCCCAGAACTGGGTCAGGTGCCCCAGCTCATGCTGCCGCAGCACCCGACACCTTCCCTGTGTAGCCAGCATCTATCACACTGGTGATTACTTATTTAATGTCTGCTTCCTCACTAGATTGAAAACTCCTTGAGGCAACTTTTAAAAATATATTTTTTAATTGATGTCAGAGAGGAAGGGAGAGGGAGATAGAAACATCAATGATGAGAGAAAATCATCGATCAGCTTCCTCCTGCACACTCCCTCCTGGGGATTGAGCCTGCTAACCGGGCCTGTGCACTTGACTGGAATCAAACCTGGAACCCTTCAGTCCACAGGCCATCGCTCTATCCACTGAGCCAAACCAGCTAAGGCACTTGAGGCAACTTTTTAGGACATTTTAGGAAAATCTCTATAAAGACACAAAGGAATGTATAAACCCACAATTATCTGTTAGACTTCTTATCCAGAGGAAAACTTTAAATATATTCAGGAGCTGTTTTTGTACCTAATTTCAAGTCAAAGAAATATATTACCTATTGTATATTTTATAGCAACTGCCATTTTCACCTCTTTTGTTGAGGATTCAGTCCTGTATGACACTAGTAGGGTGCGAGAAACAGACATTAACTGTCCTCAGCGGACATATAAAAAGTTCTGTTTTCTCATCTGGAAGAAGAATGGGGTATACTAGCTAATAGAGTTGCTACGTTTCCCTTCACAACTCACATAGAAGGTTATAGTATTTGTTTGCGACATTAGATGAGGTGAATGTCAGCCAGAGGTGACTGCCCAGGAACTCAAGTGCCACGGGGTTGAGGCTAAGTGGACTAAGGCCTACAAATCTGACACCGGCTTCACGTAATAACATTATGTAAGATACTTTCTGTGGCCATGCAAAAGTGACAACAAACTAATGACTAAGAGAGGAACCAGATTTACGAAGGTTGTGGCATTTAGTAAGATGTTAATTATTCAAAATAGTGAAACCAGAAGAGAAGAGAATTCTGTGGCCTCAGACATGTCCACCCACAGCCCAGGGCTCCATACGCAGCTAACCTTTACTAAGTTAGGTCTTAAGCAGGTTTCACAGATAGAAATAGTGTATGTAGTTATGTTATTTTCTGGAGCCTTAAGCATTTTTAATAACACTTCACTCATGTTCTTTAAATAACTGGCAGCGGGTAAACCCGGGGATTCACTCTGGTTGCTGAGCTGCGAAGCGTGAGGGGTTGTTTGCATATCTTCGAGGGCCCAATTACTTTCTGCTGTCTTCAGGCAAGCCTGACGGAAATGCCATGCACAGCTTTCAGGGCGTGTATCTTCTGACGGAGAGTTCAGTGGGAATCTGAAGGGGGAGCAGAGCTCAGTGCATGCGCAGAGAGCTGCAACCGCAGGCACAGTTCCTCGGGCGGCAGCTGACACCTGCCACTCAGTGAAGGCCAGGCCTGCCTGTCATTGGATTCCTACTGCTTGCTCTTTCTCTTTTTCTCTTTGTTTTAAAACCCATTGAGGCCACTGTCATTTCTGGATCACTACATGCGACCCAGCTGGTGTGCTAGTCCCTGATCATGAAATGCCCTTCCTTCACCCCAGGCTCTTCCCTGGCAAACAGCCCCTGGTTCTTCAAGACACAGGTCAGGTTTTATATCCTCCTGGAAACCATCCCTGACCTCCCAGAGCTAAACGAGGCTTCTTCTTCTCTGCCCCACACTATGCTAATTACCCGTTAGGGTACACAGACCATCACCCTAAACACTGTAAGCCTGCCTGCTAGGGTAGGATCAAGGGTAGGATCTATGTCTCATTTTCATCTATGTCTGTCTAGCACCCAGAAGAGAGATAATACTAGTAAACAGGTAGCACAGTATTTGTTGACTGACAGACTGCTTTTCTTATTTGTTCTTTTAGGCAACTATATCTTACCCAAGCTGCTGGACATGAAATGGCACCTGTACAAAAGCCTTTGGAGTTGGCAGAAACAAATATAGGTACTAGAGGCGTGGTGCACGAAATTTGTGCTGGGGGGAGGGGGCAGGGTCCCTCAGCCTGGCCTGCACCCTCTCACAGTCTGGGAGCCCGGTGATTGATTGTCCTGCAGAGGGAGGCCCCGCCCACCCACCGCAGCACCACTGGCCAGGTAGCCTGGGCCTCCCTCTGTGGGTCGATCATGGGGCGATGACCGGGCCCCTGACCAATTGCATCGCACCTGCCTTGGCTCGCCTCGTGCCAGTGGGTGTCATAGCGTGGTTGTCCGGATGGTTGTTCCGCTGTTCGGCCATTTGGTCAATTTGCATATTACACTTTTATTATTATAGATTATTTTATTGTAATGGTGGTGTTTTTTGTGTGTTTTTTTTAAATGAACAGTTATTGAGCATCTATTATAGACAGGCACCTCATATCCAAGAGCTATTCAGGGAATGGATACTGCCAGGTCCTCCATATTCCTCTTCTTCTTGGAGCACTTGTCCTAACCCACCTCCTTTCTCTAGTCCGACTTTCAATTCAAAGTCACCATGTTTCACAGGGAATTAAATAAATTCTGTTGGGAATGGACAGTGTTTTCTACCTTGATGTGGTTTCCACTTGAGCCAACCAACCAAAATACCAACACATACAAAGCTTCCCTTGATGACCATAACTTAGCCAGTAGAAGGAAACACAGATCAGACAGAGTTTCTGAAAATGAGGCTGACTCTCACTTCAATACATAGATTCCACGTTTTTAATTCTCAGATTTATCTCCTCCAAGAGATTGTCAAGGGCTTTCAAATTAAAAAATGTGACAATGTATGCATTGTGTTTTAATTTTATCTGTCCAACATCTATATATATAGAAAAGCCCAAGTGACCGTTAAGACCGAACGACCAGAACGACTAGTTGACTAGTTGCTATGACATGCACTGACCACCAGGGGGCAGACGTGTAATGCAGAAGTTGCCCCCTGATGGTCAATGCACTCCCACAGCCAACCTCCTGCAGCTGGCCAACCTCCCACGACCCCTTCCCCTAGCCGGCTGGCTCCAATCGCCCCAGTCAGAACCTCCCACAGCCCACCCCATGGCTGGCCAACCTCCCACAGTCCCTCCCCCTGGTCAGCCAACCTCCGGTGGCCCCTCCCCCAGGTCGGCCTACCTCCCACAATCCCTACCCCTTCCCTCACCACCCCTCCCAGCCCCAATCAGGACGGGGTGAGACACCCTGATTGGCCCCATTGCCGGCCAAGCCAAGGAACCCCACCCATGCACAAATTTGTGCACTGGGCCTCTAGTATACACATAATTAATTTCTTTTCCTTCACCCCAGAAAAGTCAAAACTGGAATCCATAGAAGAAACAAGTAGCAATAAGATGAGCTCTTCAGTTGCATTTGGCGCTTTACCCATTAGTCATGAGGATAATATCAGATCTGACCAGCAGCAGAGCACAGATAGTGAGAGCTCATCCATAGACTTTGGGACCTCTGACATGAAATACTTACTCTATGAGGATGAGAAGGATTTCAAGGTAAGATTAAGTAAATAATTTTGACTACTAGGATCATGCTGTTTTATTAATGGAGAAAATTAACCTAAAATATGGATATTGAAAATTTCTATTTGCAATTATTAGTAAAATTTGCCCACCATTCACATCTCTTTGGATACTATTTTTACCCCTACTCTTGCCCAATTTGCTACCTATATTTGTTTATAGACCTCCATTACTAGCATACCATGTAAGTTATCTAGTGGCTTATAATAACAACTGTTTATTTTCTTTAAGGGCATCCGTTAGTTAGGAAATCGGCAAGGGCTCCACCGGATAGTCCTCAGTTGGACTCTCAAGGCAGTTGCAGTCATATGTTGGCTGGAGCAGTAGTCATCTGAAGGTTTGATGGGGGCAGGACGACCCATTTCCCAGGTGGCTCACTCACGGCTGGCAGGTTAATGCCACCTAAGCTGGGGGCCTCAGTGCCTCTTCACATGGGCCTCTCCACAAGGCACTTTTATTGTCTGGCTTTTCCAAGACGAAGCAATCCCAGAGACTAAGATGAAAGCTGCAATTTTGCACGACTTAGCCTTGGAAAGCATACAGCATCCCCTCCCTCATAATCTATCCGTTGATGCAGTTATAAAGTTCCAAGTGGAGGAAATGTAGCTTGTACATCTTAAAAGAAGGTTGGCATCACATTATCAGAAAAGCATGCGGAGTGGGGTATACATTAGTATGGCCAT